TCAGTCCCCGCCCCCTTCCGGTGCCATCCTGCTTGTGATGGATTTTACTCATTTCAATTTCCAACCCTTAGTATTCCCTACCATACTTTTTCCCCCTCTGTGGCTTCATGGTATTGAAGCTAAAACAGCTGATCTTTTCTGTCACTGATTCCTGGGTTCTCCTCTCTTTGAGCCTCAGCCCCATGGTGCTCCCTGGCTCTCAGCACTGCTGCTTCTCCCCATTCAGAGCCATCAGATGGGAACTCTCACAATGTGCCTTTTTCCCGTGAGTATTTCTCAGTATGTTCCTGCTATTCTTTTACCCTTCCTTCCTGTCATAGAATATGGATTATCCTTCTTTTCCCCAAGGATGATCTCTCTACCATTTCTTCTCTGCCATAGATACACACACACACACACACCTTCCTTCAAAAGCTGTTTCTGTCTCATATATTTGTATTCTCTCCCCTCTGGATCTGCATTCCTTTCCTGTTGACATAATTGGTCTGGGTGGTTTACCCATTCTAAAACCCCTTTCCAGACTCTGATATTCATAGGCACTGTTTCATAGATAAGTTTCAAGGCACTGTTGAGCAAGAAGTCTCAACTTCAACACTATTGTCATTTGGGCCAGAAAATTCTTTGTTGTGGGTGCTGTCCTGTGCATTGCAGGATATTAAGCAGCATCTTTGGCCTCAACTCAGAGAGATACCAGTGTTACCATTTCCCCAACCTGTGACAACCAAAAAACGTCTCTAGACATTGCTGAACATCCCCCTGGGGGTCAGAATCACCCCAGTTGAGAATCACTGGTGTAGACATTAAGAGGGCTCTGGTAGATCAGCTCTAGCTTACTGTGATGGGTACATAGAATATCCGGCTACAGCTTTAGAATATAGTCTGCACATATGGCACGTATCTTAGGTTGATGTGAAGGACAGATGGTTAGAAAGCAAACTAGCAATATTTATCGCTGTACATTCACATACCTTTCCAATTAAATCCTTGTTAAACAACTACCCAGACAACAGTGGCCCTTCTGCAGAACTCCAACCCAGAGCATTTTATTGGGATGAGTCAAGACAGTCAAGTAGGCATCGTTATTGGCAAACTAATTCTCAACTGACTAACAACTTCTGGGGTCAGACTGCCTGGTGTGCTCAGCTCTGTGTACCAGCTGTATGATGTTGGGACTCTGTTTCAGTTTCATCAGGTGTAGAATGGGGAAGACAATAGCACCTGCCAGATTGGAGGTGGAGTGGAGTGAAGCAAGATAATACACATGAGGCTCTCAGAACAGTGCCTGGCACATAGTGGGTGTTCAATAAATGGTAGCTGCTATTATCCATGTTCTTGGTACTTTCCTTTCTGTTCCTTTTGTCACCTAACTTCTCACAGAGTATGGCCTTCACTTCCTCTTCTTCCAGTCACTCTTTAACTCCTTGTTTTATGGCCCCTGACTTCCACTCTCAAATCAACTTACTTTCTTGGATCTGACCTTATTTTCAGCTACATACCTTGATTGCTCTGTATGTGAACACTGTTAAACACCTTTTCCCTTGGCAACCCCTACTTCCTTGACAGTTCTGCTTCTTTAGGGGAACATTAGAGAGAAGGTTGGTTTGCCTTCTCCTGCCACCTAATTGCAGGCATTTCCCTGGGTTCAACCTCTAGCTCTTCACTATCTATCCTGTCTTTCAGATGTTCTTCAGGCCTTTTTCCTGGGTCCAATCTCCTGTCATCTTCAACACATCCATCTGCTTCTTCACACCACTCATGCCACTGGTAAATGGACCACCACCCATCCAGATACCCAAACCTGGGACCAGAGAAGCAGTCTTCCTTCATTCTTCCTTGTTTTCCACAACCAATTGGGTCCAAGCCCAGTTGAGTCCATCTCTAACATCTCCTACCTTTAGTCCCTCGACCTATCCCAGTTTTCACTTTAAAATTCTCTTTTTCTGTGAATGTATTCTTTTTTAAAAAAATATATTTTATTGAGTTTTTACAGAGAGGAAAGGAGAGGGCTAGAGAGTTAGAAACATCGATGAGAGAGAAACATCGATCAGCTGCCTCCTGCACACCTCCTACTGGGGATGTGCCGGCAACCAAGGTACATGCCCTTGACTGGAATTGAACCTGGGACCTTTCAGTCCGCAGGCCAACGCTCTATCCACTGAGCCAAACCAGTTAGGGCCCCAGTTTTCACTTTAATCCCCACACTGTTTTTGTTTTTTAAATATATTTTATTGATTTTTTACAGAGAGGAAGGGAGAGGGATAGACAGTTAGAAACATCGACGAGAGAGAAACATCGATCAGCTGCCTCCTGTACACCTCCTACTGAGAATGTGCCTGCAACCAAGGTACATGCCCTTGACCAGAATCGAACCTGGGACTCTTCAGTCCGCAGGCTGACGCTCTATCCACTGAGCCAAACCGGTCAGGGCCCCGCACTGTTATTGATCACTTCACCACTGCTGCAGTGATTTACCTTCTTTTGGTGATTCATCTCTTGGTCAGTGCTCCAGAGGGATTTTTTCTTTTCTCTTGTATCAAATTGGCCAAATTTTTAATCTATGTCCTAATTATGTCTCCAATCAATCCATTCCTCTCTATCTCTACAACCCAGTGGCTTACTAGATCCTTATTACTTCTTAGATGGACTCTTCTATTAATTCCTAACTAGCCTTACTGTCTCACGTCCTTCAGACCCTTCTCCACAGTTCCATGAGGGAGGCTCTGTCTACCCTCCTTCTTAAGCCTTTTCAGGGCCTCGCTGTTGGATAAAGTCCATGGCAGCTGCGAGGTGCACAGAGCTAGGTGATCTGGCCCACTGGCTATTTTTCCAGCTTCATCCCTTGCTGCATCCCCTCCTCCCTCTGTTCCAGCCACAGAGGTATTTGCAGTTCAGGGAACTGACCTTGTTTTACATCTCATGCCCTTGAGTTTACTATTCACTGCTCCGTCTGCCTGGAGGGCCCTGCGCCCTCCTCTCTGCCTCTGAGATACTTACACATCTCGTGAGATTCAGCAGATGTGGCACGTCATCCAAGTGGCCTTTTCCAATGTCCACATTTTTTTTCTTCTTAATTCTCTTCCGTGGCAGAACTGTATGTTTTCCATATAGTTCTGTATCGCCTCGTCTGTCACCTTCCATCTCAATGGGCTCCAACCTCTGACTTTCTCATTTTGTCATTCATTCTCTCAGTCACCTGGCTAAGACCCAGGTGTTATCTTGTTCCTCATTTGTTCACACCCACATTCCCAGCCCACCAGTTGTTTTTCTGTCACTTCTTCCTCTGAGGTGGTTCTTGATCATCTATTCTCCATTCCCTTTACCTCCTCCCTAGTTCAGGCCCTCATACCTAAGGTTTTCCATGAATGGTATTCAAAATTGTTTGTGGGATAGCCTCAGCTTGTTTACCTCTCAGTCTCATCATCTGTATATTCCTGTGTATATTATAATCCAGTCACACTGGAATCCTTAGTGATCTTTGAATAGGACTCATGACAATCATACTTTTGCATCTGCTGTTTCTAATCCCATCCTCCACCTACAAAATTACTAGCCCTTCTCCATGGATCAACTGCATTGCTTTCTCTTTCATGAAGCTTTCCCCAATTATTATTAGAAGTGACCTCTTTTCTCTGAACCTCTGAATTTTGCACCTACTTAATGGTTCTTACATATGTTGTTGGTTTGCATTTCACGATTACTTCATGTACAGAGATTCGATTATGAACTCTTTTAAGGCATGGGTTATAAATTATCCATTTTTGTATCACTTCTCCACTATAGAACCTAACACAACTTCATATATGTATATACATAGCTTCATTGAGATACTAGAGGCCCGATGCACGAAATTCGTGCAAGGGGCTCTGCCCTTGCAGCCACTGTGGCTTGCCTCGGCCCTCACAGCCCCGGCTTCATCCGGAAGGTCATTTGGCTGTCTGGTCTAATTAGCATATGATGCTTTTATTATTATAGATAAGTTACATATTCACCCATTTAAAGTATACAATTCAATGGTTTTAATAAATTAAGAGTTGTGCAGCCTTCACCACAATCAATTTTAGAGCACTTTTTGCTGTTGTTGTTAATCCTCACCTGAGGATATTTTTCCATTGATTTTTAGAGAGAGTGGAAGGGAGGGGGAGCGACACAGAGAGAGAGAAACTTGGATGTGACAGAGACACACTGATTGATTGCCTCCAGCTCGAGCCTCGACTGGGGTGGGGATTAAATTTGCAACCTAGGTATGTGCCCTTCTATCACAGGGCTGATGATCTAACCACTGAGAAACCGGCCAGGGCGTTAGAGCACTCTTATCAGCCCAAAAAAGAAACCTCGCACACATAAGCAGTCAATCCCCATCATTTCCCCCCAAACTCTCAGCCCTAGGCAAACATCAATCTAATTTCTGTTCCTGTAGATTTACCTATTCTAGACATTTCATAGCAACAGAAACATAACATTTGTCCTTTGGGTCTGGCTTATTTCAATTAGTTTATTTTCTAAGTTGATCCATGCTGCAGCATATAATGGTACTTTATTCCTTTCCATGGCTGAATATTATTCCATGCATGAGTGGACCACATTTTGTTTATCCATTCATCAGTTGATGAGCATTTGGGTTTCTACTTTTCAGCTATTATGAATGCTATGAATATTCAAGTACAAGTTCTCATGTGGACATATGTTTTCATTTCTTGTGTATCTACCTAAGAATGGAATAGCTGGGTCATGTGTTAACTCAATGTTTAACATTTTGAGAACTGCCAAGCTGTTTCTAAAGGTGGCTGCACCATTTTACATTCCCACCAGCAATGCATGAGGGTTCCAGTTTCTCCACACCCTCGCCAACACTTGTTATTATCTGTCTTTTTCGTTGTAGCCATCCTAGTGGATGTGAAGTAGCATTTCACTGTGGTTTTGATAAATATTAGATGTTTGATAAATATTTGTCAGATAAATTATATTTATATATAACATGAACAAACAGACCTTTCAACAGGTCATTTGACTTGCAAGTTTATTAACTAGCTAGAAAAGATTAGCACAGGGTCCAGAATGATTATAATTCAATTTGTAAGTTTTTTTAATATTGTTTTCTCTTTTTTTAGTTGCTAGTGTTATCTATGTGACATTATAAAGGTGGCGATTTGTTATGAAAATTCATGTAGCTTTGTAGGTTTGAATGTATTTTACAGAATAAGCTAAATTCCAACTAGAATTCCAACTTTTGATGTTGTCCCTACTCAAACACCACCAATGAATGGGGAAACTAGGAAAGGCTAATTCCTGAATCCAAGACAGGGCAAATGAATAAAATAGCATTTCCCACATGGCCTTTCCTTTGCCTTCTCTTTGGAACACGTTACAACTTGGAAGCTCCAGACACCAATTCTGTGGTGACTGTGTGAACTATTACTCTTGTTTAAAGACTTGCCTCCTCCTAGGCTGGCCTGTCTTCAAAAAAGCATTTGATAGTACACTTGGGTACATGGGCTGGGGGTAGGGAGAGACGTAAGAAAAATGCAAGTGCTAAAACTTCTTTGGGTAGAGTTTTCCTCAGTAAACAGTAGACCATGGGAAACATAACAGGTTCTGAAAACTTAATTTTGATGAATCTGGACGTTAGAGAAACAGCCAGCTGAATCAGTTCCCTCTCGGGCAGTGGCTTAGCCTTCTTATCTCAAGTCAGAGGTAATGGTCCAACTACTTTTGCTTGGTTCTAGAGAGTTCTATCTTGGCCAAAACCCATCTATTTAGTCCAGGCCTAGACAGACACTTCTGCCTGTAGCCCTGAAAACTAGAGTTCCACTTAAGGCTGCAAATGAAAGGTGCATGATTGGGCTTAAAACTTTGTATGGTGTGCAGGTGTCCTCAGAGGAGCTGCTGTGGTGGAGTCAGTAGTAAGTAAAGTAGCAAGCTTTCTGTATGTATAACACCATCTCGCCTAACTAGTCTCAAGTAATTCTACAGTAGTATTGTCTGCAACTAGTTAAGAGGCATATATTTTCCACAACCAGTTACCCGGTTATCTGTCTGAAGTTGTTTCCAAAGGCTGAGAACAGGCCCTTTCAGAACCTCGGTAGGAAAAGTATTAACAGTTGGAAACATGTCAGCTGCTTTATGGAGGAAGCACAGCCCAGGCCTGGTTTCTCTAGGCTCTGTGATAACTTGGGCTGCAGCAGCCGGGGCGAAGCTCGGTGGTGGGAACTGTAGAGATGGAGAGCGGCTCAGAGGAGGCCCCTGCTTTTCAGAGTTGAAACAGGAGCCCTCTGAGAGAAAGAGATATTGCATGTGGCTTCCCTGATGCCTCGGAGGGCGAAGTGGATGACACAGCATCAGCCGTTCCTTGGGGGGTGGGGACACTGTGGCTGCTAGAAGCCTCTGCCCTCATCGGCCCCTTGGGGGCCACAGCCAGAGTTCAGCATCAGTTGTGGAGTTTGGTGAAGAAAAGGTGACAAAGGCCAAGTCAGCGTTCAATTGGTTGGAAGGAGAACACGCTCCCGGATGGCAGCCCCAGAGCTAGAAGGACCGCACCCTGGGAGAGAAACGGCTTTTAGTCGGGGGCGGGTGCAGCAACAGTTCCTAATCTCCTGCCTAATCATCTACTCGCTCCACCTGGATGCGGAGCGAGGATCCGGTGGAGAGAGAACCGCGCGGGTGGGACTCCCCCTCTCATTTACCTCCAAGACCCAGAAATACAGCGCCAGGTCAGGCACCTCGACCCCCACGCCAGCCCCTGTGGCCTCCGAGGCGCCCCTCTCTTGCCTCTTGGGCATTGCTGCCTTTCCCCCCTCCTCTGTTAAAATAGTGAGAAGAAAAAAACACACACAAAAACACGGAGTGAAGTGATGGAAAACTGGAGGCGGAGAGTCGCCTGCAATGAGGGGCGGGAGGGGAGGGGGCGCGGTGGTCCCAGAAGGTGGCTGGCCAGCGAGCGCTGAGATGATCGGCATCAGGCTCAGCGTCGGCCGCCGCCCTGGCCCGGGGCGCCTGCGGAGGGCGTGGGGCAAACCTGGGGCTGCGGTGGGGGTAGGGTAGACCTCACCTCCATCCCTCCCGGGATGGAAACCGCGCTCACCCCGCTGAAATCGGGGCGGAGGGGACAGGCGGGTACCGCGGTCCCTCCCACCCCCTCGCCGGAGCCGCCGCCGCGGCTGTTCAGTAACACGTCCCCAAGAGACTGAGCAACACG